CAGATGCACCTGCTTGTCTGAGTTGGCACCTCCCATTTGCTGCAGGAATATTCCAGGGACAGAGGACAGTGCACCTTGGATGTGGTCTCTGCCTCCTGCTTCTGCAGGCTCACTCCCGAAGCACCAAGGCTATAATTTGCTGCTTCCCTTTGCTGGTTTACAGGCTGTAATTTTGGCCTGGGGCTTGACAAACTACTCGGGATCTCTTCGAGATGGGAAGTGAGATCCACATGCTCATGTTCTAATAAGGATGAGCTCTCCAAGGTCATTTTCCTCACAGTGGTTTAATAGAGTTGATTTTATACTCCCTAAGGGATACAGACTTCCAAATTGTTGCAATCTTACTAAACTTAACATACACAGCTAACATTTTAAATGAAATTGTCTCTTCCAAGCCAGTGGTTCTGAACCAGGGAGATTTTCCTCTTAGGGGCATTTGACAGGGCCTAGAGATTTTTTAAAGGTACTAGTGATTAAACCCAGGACGCTCTACTCCTAAGCTCTCGAACTTGGAATCCTTCTGTGTTCTGCATAGCTGGGCATGTATGCCACTGTGCCAGCTTGGAGCCCTTTTCGATTGTCATTCCTGGGAAGGGGTGAGTACTCTGGGGCGTAGTGGGTAGAGCTGGACGTGTGCAGTACACAAAACAGCCTACACAGAGTGGTCCCGATGCCCGCAGCACCACTCAGGAAGGGCCAGAGAGGCATTTGCTTTTCGGCCATTCTCTGCAAGGGGCTTCCTGTGGCATTATATGCGATGAAAGTCCCTTATAAGCAAAGTCACGAGGCCAAGACTAAAACTTTTGCCACGTTGCCTTTTTGGGTCCCTTCAGATGGAGAAGGCTACGGTGCTGGTTCACCTGGGGGCAAGATCACTTGGGGCCCCAGCCTTCGCTGCTAGCAAGTCGTAGAGGCCGAAAGTGAAAGTCATTAATGGTTTTCCAGATGTATTAATACTTCGTTACTTTAATGAATCACCACTGATTAACTTTGTGCCTCAAAATTTAAACATAACTTTTGATTTTTGCAAATGTAGAAAATAGGCTATTTTATTTCCTGCCCCTTTGCTGCCTGTGGGACCTGTGGGCTTACACCTGTAAGGCAGGAAAGGTGATGGTGTCACCTAGATGATACTGTACCAACAGTGATGAGGACTGGGTGATCTGCACTCAGATTCCCTGCAGGGCCTAGGACAGTGATGGCAAACCTTTCCATGATACAGACAGCCCACTGTGGCATGAGTGCCATAGATTTGCCACCACTGGCCTAGGACCTTGCGGGACATTTATGAACAGCACATAGTGTTTTCAGTGCATAACAGCCACTGATTCCCGGTTGCTGCCATAGTCCTTCTTCCTGCTAGCATAGAGCACCCTGCTCAAGTAAATTGCTCTTCTCGGCCTCAGCCCAGGGAGTCCTGTTAGTGTGCCGTCTTGGCTCATATCAGGATCAGGCACCACCAAAGCACCTGTACTCCAGCAGGCACGACGGCCCAGCTCACTGAAGATCAGGGAGGAGCGTGGACATCTGCACCCAGGGAGACCTGTTTGTGGGCCCTGCTGGCTTGGTCCAGGGGCTGTCAGATGTGGCCCCTGCTGAATCATCTTTACTGATGCAGGTGACATGCCATCCTCCTCACTGAAGACCAGGAAGGAGCCTGCAGGTCTGGTCCTGAAACCCAGAGGCTGCCCCTTTCTTCCCTATGGACAGTCTGCTTGCATTCGGGCTTTTTAAACTGAATTAATTTCTACTATGAAAGATGGCCACACAGAAGCATTAAAGAAGTAATGGTGACATGTCCTCCACACCTTAACCTCCCTGAGAAAACAGCTGTAGCAGTTTGGTACTTCTTCTTTCAGCACCATTCAGGTGATTGGTTCATTCATCAGCACAGAGTTGCTGCATTTCATGATGTGTGAAGTGCTGGCCTGGTGGTGGGGGCACAGCACTTTACATTCATAGCTCTTCTTTTTCGTCACACAAAATGAAACTATATAAACTACAGTGTTCCAAGATCTATATTTTAAAAAGCACAATAAGCCCCTGACATCTTTTTCTATATGAGTGCTTATAAAAGTAGCCTCATTTTGAGGCAGAATATTGGTGTGCCCAGGCAGTCCTTGAACTCCTTGACTCAAGCTATCCTCCCACATTATCCTCTTGAGTAGCTGGAACCACCGGCATGCACTACCGCATGTAGCATGCCTATTGCTTCTTTTATATTGGATGTATTAGGATCCAGAAAGGCTCTAGGTTAAGCTACTCTCTCCTGGGATTTGATTTCCATTTGGGCCTAGGCTCCTTCCATCTCCCAGCTCTGCTGTACTTCAGCTGTCATCCTCAGCACTGTCAGAGATGTTTACCATATTCACATCCCCCAGGATGGGCACCAGGGGCAACATTTATAATGTGAACACATCACTTCTGCTCGTGTCCCATTGGCCAGAATTTAGCTGCAGGTTGGAACTTAGATGCAAAGGAAATTGGGCACTGTGTTCAGGTAGGAGTCTGCTCAATAGGGAAGAGAGGGAAAACAAATAACTAGATCATTAGTCTCTACACAGTGGCATCCAGGTAGCTCACAGTTTTTTACTAGTACCAGTATCTCTGGTACTGTGCAAATGCTAATATTCCTATAATGTGGACACCCAAAGTAGTTAAAATGTATGTAGATTTTAAAGTTTTATCAGTACTGCAAACTTGGCTTCCAAAAAAAGTTTCCTCAATTTTCATTCCCACCATTGAATGAGTGCCCTGTTCAGTGATGAATCAACACATCTTTGTCAACATGGAGTATTATCCATCTTTCATCTTTCCAGGTTGCAGGATGAAAACACAATAGGATGGATGGATGATGGATGGATGGATGGATACATCAGTAGACTGATTCCCATAGTTTATATTTCCATGATCAGTTGAGTGTGAAGCTTGGTTTGTAATCATTGATCATTCACATTTGCTCTGTGGATTGACTGCTCAGATCGTCTACCTGTGTGTTTGTTTTTGTTGTTGTTTTTGTCTTTGTTGATCTGTAGCAGAAGCTTATACACACCTTTCAAGTATAAATTCTGTCACTTTTCTGTTGAGCTTGCCATTCATTGCTATGTGTTTTTATCAGAATTATATCATTTGTATATCATTGTATCTGTTGGTCCATTTCTGCAAGACTTCTTGATTTTTTGACTAAAGAAGACTTTTCTTAGCCCAGAATAAAAATATTCTATTCTTTTACATTTTGGGTTTTAGTCCACCCTGATTTTTTTGTGTATAGAATCTGAGGTGGCAATATCAGATGGTTAATTCTCCAGCATCACTTACTGAACTGTTCATTCCTTTTTTACTGATTTGAAATGCCACTGTCATTATAGTTATGTATGTGGGTCTATTCTAGGCTTTCTGTTCTGTTGATTTGTTTGTCTTACCCTCACTAATGCTAGCCTGTAATTACCATAAATTTATAGTGTATTTAATATCTGGTAGTACCGAGTCTCCATTCATTTTTGTACTGGGGATCAAACTTGGAACCTTGCACTTGTGAGGCAGGCGCCGGAACCATCTATTCATTATTCTTTAGTAAAATTTTTTTCTAATCTTGTTCATTTCTCTTCTGCACTCACTTTAGAATCAACTTGTCAAATTCTATTAAAGGAAAACTCCTGCGGGTGTTTTGATTGTGCTTGCTTGGACGGTATGGATTCATTAGGGGAGAATTGACATATTTAGAATCCTTCAGGGAGAGTTTACTTAGAGAACATTTCCAGGTGTTCCCTCACAGACTGCAGTGATTGTAAACAATCCTCCAAATGAGGACGGTGTCACAAATGAGATGGCAGAGTATGCGCAGAGTGGCCCGCATCCACTGTAGATGTCTGCGCACCTCTGCTGGTGGCACATTGCATGGTCCTGTCTCAGAGGCGACTCAGGCCTGGGTTCTTCGCTGTGCATGTTGTGTGAGCTGCAGGCCACCCTGCCACCACATTTCCCCAGGCCTCACTTGACCTTCTTGTCTTCCTGCTGAGCCATAAACAACCCATAGGCAATACCAGAGGCGGTATTTGTCCTCAGCTGCTCAGAAACAAACTCACCTTTAATCTAAGTGTGCATAATTTGATTCCTGTCAGTTTTTCCACTTACGTTGTTGATGTCCAAGGAAAGGTCAGCAAAGGTATTCTGTGAATTGCTTTAAAATACTGTTTTGAGTGAACATTTTAGGCATTTTTCTTGTGAGACAAGAACTTTCCCTGCTGTGCTTACAAGTAATCACTAGAGTCTTTTCAGAACAGAACAGTATGTCCAGAAAAATGTCTCACATGGTAGTTTAGTGTTAATAGTTTATTGTTTGTGATTTGAAAAAAATTTACAAGGCCAGGGCCGGGGATTTAGCTCAGTGGTTCCTGCGCCTGCTGTGCAAGCGCAAGGTCCTGAGTTAGATCCCTGGTACCAAAAACAAAAACAAAAATTTACGAGGCCAAACCCACTTGTGTCTCTGTGTGTCATTTTTTTAAATCACCTAGAAGATAAAGTACTTGTGGGCATCTCTGAAATCATGCACATTTGAGGACTTGATAAACTCTTCAAAGCTGATTTTCTGTGTAAATGAGGCATTGTGTCTTATAAGCATAGAACAGCTACAGAGAGATGGTGTTAATAGCACACATATCCTTTAAAGTGATAAGCAATGGCCATGGGATACACAGAGCAGTGGACACAAGCCCATCTTCTAAGGGGAAGCCAGGGCACCTACAGAGCAACTCCAGGGCTGCAGAAGCGAACATGGAAAGCTATCCAGCTGTTGGCATTGCTGAAGTAAGATACCATGTAAGAAGATACAGAGACATCTGGCTTGCTGTTATGTATACTTTTGTAAGAATGATAACTGAAGAACATCTGTCCAATGATGAGGCATGATATGTTATTCCTTCTTTAATGTACACATGCTGGTCAGCAGCCTAGCTCATGAGATGTACTTGTAACCCATCTATACTCTGTTTGTTTTCCAGAACTATACTCAGTATATCCCTCTGTCCATCTATGACCTACAGACATGGATGGGCAGCCCATCCATCTTCGTCTATGACTGCTCTAATGCTGGCCTGATCGTCAAGTCCTTCAAGCAGTTTGCGCTGCAGAGGGAGCAGGAGCTAGAGGCAAGTGTGGACAGGTTTCCTTTTTGTTCCCCTGGGGCGAGGGTCAGGTGGGAGGTCGGGGTGCTGGACATTGTAAGAATGAGGAAGGCCACCGTATTCTGAGGGTCCGGTGGCACATTTAATGGGCACTGGGGAGGTTGTCAGAGCAAGCTGATGAACCTGTTTTACATCATGTTCTACATGAGGTCATACCATTAACAGAGTTGGTACTGCTACATTGGTCTCTGCCTATAAGACAGTGTCAAAATAATACACATTTATGTTAGGAGAAATAGACGCATTTCTTCAATTCCAATCTTCATTTTCACTCGCATCTTTGTTACTCGTTTCTTTTGAGTTTTTTAACCAAAGTCACCAAGCAAGATAGTTAAAACTAAAACAGCTGCCACCAGTAGCTCCCATGTAAGGAGCCAGAGCCTGAGCAGTGCTCGGATAATGAGGTGATGTTTTGCCTGGTTGTTTTAATTAATATTTGATGCTTGAATTAAATGGTGAATTCTAAAGAGAAATTGAGGAGGCCGTTTCAATTAAGAGGCCTCCAGCCTGTGGCCTACACAGGAGTGTCAGAATAAAATATTCTGTAGCCTCCAGGGGGCCATGAATTCTGATTGGTTGCAATGCAAGAAATTCTCAATCCAGGAACAACAACAACAAAAAAATGTTCTTCGGTATGTTTCCTCAAGCCTTTTTGGGTCTGTTCCATTTTAATGTATTGTTTTGTTTTTCACATTTCATCAGAGGATAATGCTGTAAGAGTCAGTACCAAAATCTGAAATTCTGTTCGGTAGAATTTACAGTTAACATGTCTACAGTTTAATATTTTGTATCTGTAAATTAAGTCCTTATTCGGGATACTGCATAAGAGTGACTGATAAATATAATGCCCTTTGTGCTTGGAAATGGCACTGAGAGCCACGGGTTTGTTTGCTTGCATCTTTGCTTTGCATTCTATCATAAGAGGAGAAAGATCAAATTTTGTATCACCAATTTTTTACCTTATTCTCAGGCATTTCATCTGGGTTTACCCAAGGGTAGGTTGTCTAATGAACACTAAAAAGCCCAAAGCCCTAAGCCCTGAGAAGTAATTTCTGTTTCTTCACATCAAGCAATAAACATTGCAATAATTTTTTATATTTATAATATTTCAGTAAAAATGCCAAAGAATCTTGCCTGACTTTTTATTCTCAGTTTCTGAGCCAAGACCAATGGTCAATGAAAAGTCCAGTCCATCAGCCTTTGTTAATTAAAGTATGTTGAATATGGACCCTCTTCCCTTTCAGCCAGAGACTTACCTTTCTACTGATGAATCCTTTTAAAGCTTTCTTCCCAGCACTGGGGGCGTGTGCTCTATCAGGGCTGTATGTGTTCTCTGAAATGCTGTAAGGATTAATCAGCCTAAGATGGTGTTCATTTCATAAGTGTAACAAAAAAAGATTTACATGCACGTCGTTTTTGAAAAACAAAAATTTAATTGACTTGTTCCTCATGAAGGAGATGAAATGGAAAAGAACGTTAACTGAGGCAGCAAGTGGAAGTAGCACAGTGTTACAGCGTATGTTTTATAATTGGCTCTGATTTTTATCTTCGCTCTTTTTATAATTACAACATAGATCAACCTTGTGTTTATCACACCTACTATTATTGGCTATTGTTCAGTCAGTCTCTTGCATAAGCAGCAGAAGTTGAAATGATAAAATTGGCTCCCAGCTAATATCTTAATGTTCACTTTAGTCATTTACTCTTTGCTCCAGAAACAGACATCCTAGGTGGCCTGTTAGGTGTATTCTTTTAGACTATTTCTCCTTCTACAGCTAACCAACTTCTTTGTAAATTTGCAATATATTTCAATACTTTTTGTTGTATAATACGTGACCTGAGAGAAATTGGTGAGTAAATGCTTTGTGTAGATGTTTAAAAAATGAAGAGAGTCTATGGGGGATCAAATCCCCATACTTCCCTTTGGTCTTTGTGGCACCCTGATTGAATTGAGGATTACATTGGTAGTTTTAAAAAAAAGGGAGGAAAGAAAGAAGTGAGTGGAAAATGATTAACTATAATGCAGGAAAGTGGTTATTTGGAACACAAAAACCTCGAAAATAATAAGACAAACAAATATAAGTGACATAAATTTCTGGAGCTGATCATCAACTTTCATGTTCTTAGTGGCAAGTGCTGTTCTGGCCCTGGAGGTTTGTTTGTCATGTGCTTCTTTCTCTGTAGGCTAAATAGAAGATGACTGCATAAAAGCACAGCATAATTTATTGCACACAATTGAAATTTCATTATAGTCAGAAAAATGCGTGTCTGTCACTCAGGAGTCTGTCTTATATTTTTCATTGTGTCATATTATTTTGTAATTTGAAAATTAAAGAAAACCTTCAAGTCTCTCTGCTGTCAGTGTTCTTTTTTAAAGAAATATTTTTATTTTGCCAAATTAATACATCCTATGGTTTAAAGAATTAAAGCATGCAGAGGGCTTCTTTATAATGAATAAAATAGTCCCTGGCCCCAGGCCTTCCAAGCTGGGACTCTGTCCAAAAGGCATCTCTTTGAACTCTTCCCTCCCTCCTTAGCTGCAGAGCATACACAGATGCTCCTGATTCTAGGCTCACCCATTGTGGACCCATCTGCTGTAACCCAAAACCAAGGCGGAACTCCCTCTAGTGACTTCTCCGTAGGAGCTAGAGAAATCAGATGGAAGACTGATAATGCAGAAATATATTATGTGGCAGTTTTAATTAATATATATTTGTGTTTGACAGTGGATTCTAAAGAGAAAGTCCTCAACTGAAGAGAACTAGCTACCCTTCCTGCTTGTCACTGGCTACTCTTCCTGATTTTCCAGATAGCGCTCTCTTTGGTTTCTGTGTATGTTGTAAATTTTGCAGTATTGAATAATATCTATATGTTTTTATTTCTAGTTTTATCACTAATAGTTAATGCCTTGTTTTTAAAACTCTTACCTTCCTTCTACTTTCTTTTCCCTTTTTTCTTCCCAGCTCTGTCTCTGTACTTTTACTCTTGTAATTATCTTTTGTTCTCTGACAATAACCAGGTCTTCTGTGCTGGGTGTATGGAGTTTGTAAGATGATAAACATTGAATTTCATTGCATGTTCACTGAGTGCCTGGATAGGGTGCTGTGATTACCATTTTTGTGGCAGTTTGTTTGGTCTTCCTGTAGTCTTTTTTCTTCTTGAATTATATATGGATCTTTAATATATTCTCAATGTTATGGTTTAAATTTGAAGTATCCCTCAAGTGCTCTTATATTAAGGACACTAACCTTATCAGTGACTTAGGCCACTGATGAGTTCTTCAGCTGAATGGGCTGTTAGGTGGGGCTCAGTTGGAGTCAGTGGGTCACTGGGGCCGTGCCTCTGAGGGGTGTGTCTCTTCTCTGGCTCTTCCCTTCCATTCTGCTTCCTGACTGCCATGAAGTGAGCGGCTTTCCTCTACTATACCCTTCTGCTATGATGTGTCAGCCCTGGAGCCAGCTGACCATGGACTGAAACCTCTAAAACTATGAGCCAAAGTAAATCTTTTCTCCTTAAGCTATCTAGTCAGGTATTTTGTCGCAGTGACAAAAAGCTGACTAACTCACTCAGTCTCCAGATTCTCAATGTCAGAGGGTGTCCTTCCCCAAAGACCCTTGTTCCAAGCCCTCTACCACCACTTCCACTGACGGCTGTCCACAGGCCTCCTTCAGCTGCTACCCAGCTCCCCTGGGTATATACACTGTGTTCTGGACACACCTCTTTCTCTTTCTTGATGCTCTCCTTTGTTCTACCAGAGTAGAAGTACCCACCCAGAAAGGATCTTTCCAGGCCATGTTTGCATTAACAGCCTTCAGCTATAAGCAGTGGTAAACTCACTGTTGATTTTTAAAGAAATAACAGTTTGTCTCTTTTACTAATAAGATCTCTGAGCCAAATGATTTACTACTTAAGCAGTGCCCCCTGTCATCTTCCTCTCTTCCTCTCTGGCATCCTTCATTGACTGGTGCTTTATCCTCAAGACTGCCACCTGCCCACCACAGTTGGAGGCACTTCATCTGTCTCTGCAGCAGGATGGAGTGGGCTAGGGGCAAAGCTGGACACCTGTCTCCCTCATTAGACAGTAAATGCAGACTTTCCTCTAGACTCCATTGGTGACAGTTGGGTCACAAAGCCAACACAGATATAGAGCATGGGAGTAAGAAAAGAGAATGGAGTTGGGAATGGACCCTGGATTATGTGCTGAGGAATGGCATTCACATTGTGCTATATATGTTATTAACAGTGTGCATGTGGAATTTTAGGTCATTTTCACTCTTAAAGCAATCCTACTGTTGCTATCAAAAATCCAAAGGGTCAACTATTACCATACAGATAAAAGGCATTAAAGGGATATACATAGTCACAGTACTCCCCCCTCTGTAAATATGTTGAATATATAAATATGTGTTGAATGAATGGGAAAGAAAGAAAAAAAAGAGCATTCAAGTACTTTCCCAACAACTTTTGTCTCAGACATTTAATCCTTGGTCTGTCAGCTGAAAAGGAAGGCCAAATTGTAAATAAGCCGGTCCTCTTTGAAGTGGTCTTTATTCAATGCTGTCCATCAGGTCTGCTGCTTTCTAGTGGCTGCTTCCCAAGGGCAGTTACATCTCTCATCTCCACTGAGACAGCAGTATGGTGGAATCAGATTTAGACAGGTGTTCTTCTCAGTAATAGGCAGAGGCAGATGCATTTATACTCAACTGTCCCAGGAATACCAACACCTGAATGTCACCATCTTCGTTTGATTCAGCACTGATGTGGGGATAGCCTCTCCATAGTAGCCTGGCAGAAGAAGAGTCCCTTCCTGGAGGAGACTGGGTTGCCATGCCTTAGGAAGAATCTTTGATTGACGTTGGGCCCGTCAGTCAGGCCCTTTCTCCTGCCACTCATTGACATTTTGCAAGGCTTTACTTGTATTGGCTCCATGCACGTTGTACCCCTGTCTGATACTGTTGTGGAGT